TGCACTTCTGTATGACCTGCTCTGATTGGTCATTGATTGGCCTCTGTGAGCCCTTGGCTGTCCTAGTCCAGGAACCTGAGCTCAGCTGAGCCCCAGGCCTGATTCAGCCCACTCCATGCTCTCCACTAGTTAGAAAAAGCTGAGAGGTCACCAAGAAGTCACAAGAGGATGTCCAGAGGCCTGGATTCCACTCCAGGTCTCTGTGCCCCTCTATTCTACCTCTGTGCCTCTGGGCTTCAGCAATCCATCTCTATCTATATGTGTGCCTCAGTTTCCCCGTTTGTTTATGAAGTACTTCTTAAGACTTCCACACTTTACCCTTTTGTCCCTTAATGACTTTCCCACCATAGTCCATGCTGCCCTGTACTCGTGACCACCTAGCAATTGTCCCTCTGGGTAATTTTCCTTATGGCCTGGCCTGACTCTGACCCAAGTCTCACCAAGTACATCTGCAGCGTCTCCTCTGTCACCAGCTCTGAAGGATCTCTGGCACTTGCTTATCGGGATTATTTAAGGACTCACCACAAACAAGAAAATCTCCGTGTGAACTTCCTCCTGTGCACTCTGAACAAACACTCTAGACACCTCCTCCATGCCCAGCCTGAATTCCTGAGAAAACCACAGTTTGCACTTCAGTGGAGTGAGGTAGCTTGTTGGGCAAAGCATGGACTTCAAGTTAGGCCACCTGGCTTGAATCCCAGCTCCAGAGTGTATTGTGTGTTAAAGGGTAAAATTACACTCATTCAATTTTTAAATCTTAAAGATCTTTATATTTACTTTCTCTTTTTTGTTTGTTTGGCTGTTTTTTTTTTTAATGACAGGGCCATATGAACCCAGGCTGCTCTTGAACTTTTGACCCTGTGCCCTAAAGTGCTGGGATTATAGACACCTCCATACCCAGCTTTAAGACGTTTATCACCAATTATTATAATCACACTTCATTCCATCCAGTAGAAGAAGTGTTCTGATGGGTGGACAGAACCAATTGGGTTCATAAACCCATTCACAAACAGCTTTGTGAGGAGGCATAAACAAAACCAAAAGTAGAGTGGTCCTCCCAAGATCTTTCTCGTAACAGGCAATGGGGAGGCAGGATAGCAAGGGAATGCCTGGTTAGTATCAGGATAGTTCAGATTGCCTTTGCAGTAGTTTGAGGCAGAGGGCACTTCGTGACTGTGACTATTGGGAAATCTGACTTTTGTCTCTCATGCTGTCAGTTTGGTAGCTGACACTTTAGTACAGGAGTTTGGTCCCCAGCTGTGGCTTCCTGTGATGTCTATCCAGCAAGGGCCACAAGACAACATATATGGAAGGAGGAACTGTACCATTACCAGAAAGGTGACAGGGCAGGAGGATGTACCAACCCTGGCTGAGGTGACCTGAGAAAGAAGCCAGGATGCAAGCCATCTGTGTCTTCTATCAGAACATCCTCCAGGGCTTCTCTTGGTGGTACGTGGGCATGACACAAAGTATGACAATGACTCTGAATAACTTTTCACAATGCTAAGCAGTGCCACTTGCCACCCAGTCCCCGTACATGGCACTTACCAATCACTGAGAATTCCATCACACCGGGATCTCACACGGAGAGCTAAGAGTAATGTCAGGGGCAGTACCAGTGAGATCAGGGCCTCCTTTAGGTTTAAAAGCAAAAAGCTTACATTTTATTTAGTTTGGCAGTACCAGTGAGATCAGGGCCTCCTTTAGGTTTAAAAGCAAAAAGCTTTCATTTTATTTAGTTTGCCAACACTGCAGCTTTGCTCTCTCCAGAAAAAGTTTAATTAAACCTAACTCTTCTTTGTGTCTTGAGACAGCATCTTTAACTGAGTGAGGTACGGTCAATATCACATAGGCCAAAGTAGAAATCACCGACTTGTTTTACATCAGCTCACAGACACTGGGCTATCAGGCACCTTCCTCCATCATACAGGGCTCTGCCAGACCCCTCTCTCACCAGATTGGCCCTGAAAGTACTGAGCTAAATGCAGCATGAAGGTGGATCCAAACCATGCTCTCAGTTCTCCCTCCCTACCTTACAAGCACCCCCATGAGCTGTGGTTGGCCTTTGGAGGCAATATAATTGGTGTATTCTGTATTGTGGGACACACTCTGTGGGTTGTCATTTGATGCCATTTCACACAGTGACCTGGCTCCATGATTCTGTGTGTAGATAAGGTTCATTCCTTCCCACTGGCCTGGATTAGCCTGTTTGTTCTCAGTCTGACTGAAGGACATTTGGGTTGTGGTCCTATGAATCAGCACACAGTGAGTACTTGGGGTGGTTCCCTCTGCGTGTGGGTTCTCTAGACTATGCAGAAATGGAATTTTGAGGCTGGGAGATAAAATTTCAGTTCTGCTAAATGTGCCCTCATTCTTTGTTCATCTGTGAAGCTTAATCTTGTCCACTTGGTGGGGTTTGGAATGACCACAGAAACAAACCTCTGGGCATATCTGTGGGGGAGTATCTGATGGATGGGGTTACCTGAAGTAGAAGACCCACCCTAATGTGGGCAGCACATTCAATAGCCTGAGGTCCCAGACTGAAGGGGAGAACTTGAGTTAAGCACCATCATTCATGATTGTTGCTCCTGTGGCCAAAATGTGAACAGCTGCCCCCTGCATGATGAACTGTGACCCTGCAACTGTGACCTAAGTTTTGCCAGGTCTTTTGTCTCAGTAATGAGACACCATATTTTGCTCTTTAATTCATCTCATTTGATGAGCTGATTGCTTTAATCTGCATCTCTGGCGACTCAGTGTAGTGTAGGGGACAGTAAGCCACGCCTGTTAGAGGCTGGCTACAGGTGTGCTTGACCATGCCCTGACAGCCAGGTGTGCTTACTGTCCCCTACATGCATGCTTTCAGTTCTCTTTCCTGTGTTGTTTCTTCGGTCATTGAGGACTCTGTTTCCACTCCTGGAGGGGCTGTGCTGTGTTGGGCTGGACTGGCTGGGCTGCTATGGCACTCTGGGACCTAGCCCCTTCTGGTGTAGGCTGTCTGCTGTCCCTACTTCTCTTCCAAGCTTCATGAACCACATCCATCTTCTAAAGTATTCCTTGCCAGGGCTTCATACACAGCATGGCATCCTGAATGCTGAGCCTCTTCTCTCCACCTCAGTGCACCCAAACTTGTTCCAAGGTTCAACCTCTGCTACGAAGCCTCCCATGTGACCACAGGCCCCACCCCACTCATCCTGCAGCTGTCACCACATTCCCCTCCATGTCCCCACGTGGGTCTCACTGTATGCAGCCTTCAAGGTGTCCCTTGAAGCACAATATCATCTATGGAGTCCCCCACTCATCCTGCAGCTGTCACCACATTCCCCTCCATGTCCCCACGTGAGTCTCACTGTATGCAGCCTTCAAGGTGTCCCTTGAAGCACAATAGTATCTATGGAGTGTCTTTTCACAATCTGACCTTGACCATGTGTTCTTAAATCGAGACCATGGGAACATCAAACCACCCAGTGTCACACTTGCACATCAAACCATTGCACACTAAGTCTGTCCCCCTTGAATCTTTTATAGACACTAGTCACTATGCCATGGAGAAGTCCAAGTAAATATGGAGTTCCACAGAGAGATGACAGAATGGCCTGTGGGTACCCACCTCAAGTGTGCTGTCCATCCCATTTGTATCTAGACCAGTGGTTCTCAATCTTCCTAATGCTGTGACCCTTTAATAAGTTCCTCATATTATAGTGACTCCCAACCATAAAACTGTCATTGCTATTTAATAACTGTAATTTTGCTACTGTTATTAATTTTGATATAAATATCTGTATTTTCCAGTGGTCTTAGGCAACCCCTGTGAAAGGGTTATTTGACCTCCCTTGTGACACACACAAAGGGGTCACAATCCACAGGTCGAGGACCACTGATCTAGACCATCTGTAGTATACATTTCAGCTTTGGTGATGGTGCCAATTGTATTCATCCCACCATGGTACCCATTCTACTTGTGGTATTCATCACAGCACTGGTACTCATCCAAGTTGTGGTGCTCATCTCAGCTGTGGAAGGCATCTCTATTGATGTATTCATATTTAATAATTACAATAATCATCCCAGCTGTGGTACCCATTCCAGCTGCAAGACTCATCCTAACAGTGGTACTCACTCCAGCTTATGATGCTCATCTCAGCTGCAGAACCCTTCCTAACTGTAGTATCATGCCAGCAGTGGTACCATCCCAGATTTGTTATCCATCCCATCCATAGTATCCTTTTCATCTGTGGTACTCTTCCCAGTTGTGGTACCATCCCAGATGTGGTACCCATCCCATTCATAGTATCCATTCCAGCTGTGATCCCCTTCCCAACTGTGGTATCATCTCAGATGTGGTACTTATCAAGCTGTGACAATCAACCCAGCAGTAGTACCCATCCCTACTGTGGTCCAGAACTGTGTGGCTTCTGCAAGGTCCAGAAGACTCAGAATGTGCTGAGCTACCCAGAGTTCCTCGAATTATCTGCCAAGGTGGCCTGCATAGCTTCCTGACTCTTCATTCAGTATGTTGGAAATAACAATGCTCTGCTGCACGCCCAGCTCAGAAATGTTTACCAGGCAACATCTCACACCTATACTTTGTCATTAATCTCACTGGCCCAAACTGAGCCACACACCTATTTCTGAACCAATTACTTTGTGCATATGGGAGACTCATCAGATCTACTACTAGGTTAGAAGAGGGGATGACCTGGCCAATTCCTCTGAAGTCTGTTCGGTTTCTGTGAGAGGAATAAACATCTAGAAACAGTTGGAATCAGCTAGGGACCGTATGAAGGGTATAACCTAGCAGTGTCCAGTAGAGGACCTGTCACACTGGCTCAACTCTCCCAACTCTTCCTGAGGTCATGGAAGAAAGCATGGAAGAGGGGTTTCAGGAACCCTAGATGCTTAGAGTGTCTGTCTTCCTCAGTTGTTCCCCCAGCCCCACACATGGGTCCCCATCCTGGCATGGAGGGAAGCAGCACACAGGGGCAGGCTCAGACCTGGGCCTTTCTTTCTTTATTGGCATCACTCTCCTCCAGCTTCCTTCCAATGCCCTTTTAACTACTTGCCCCTGGATTTGCTCTTTTCTCCATATTTCTCTTCCAGTGCTTTCTGCAAGTTCATATCCATAGCATTTTTCCGGTGCCACCGTCCTGCGGGGAACAGAGAAGGACCATCACAGGGGCTAGCACCTTCCAAGAGGTCTAGACCCCAGTGTCTGCCTGTGACCATGCTTCTTCAGGTCCAACCCCAGGGACCTGACTCCTCCTCTGCACCTTTCAGCCACCCACCCTGCCCATGGAGGAGAGGGTCACCCCTCAGCCCAGTGTCTACCTACCCAGCTCATCCGTCTTCCTGCCATGCCAATGCTCTACATCCCTCACAGCTTTCTCAATCACCTCTGGCGTGTAGGAAGCCTTCATGAGGCTCTTTGTCTCCTGGGGCGGGCCTGTAGACACCATGGAGAAATCCCTAGGTCATTAAAGGTATGGCAGCCTATGCTGTATGCCCATGTCAGTTTGCTGTGTGGGTGGCAGGCATGGAAGAGAAGGGGAGTCAGCGGGTTAGGATGGCCTCAGTGTTTAACCTCTCTAAGCTTTGGGTTATTTACCTACATGAGGGGATAGGGTCTTTTTTCAACCTTGGGAAAATTAAACCCATCTTTTTAAAAAAAATAATTTATTTTTATTTTATGTGCATTGGTGTTTTGCCTTATGTATGTCTGTGTGAGGGTGTCAGATTGTGGAGTTACAGTTGTGAGCAGGCATATTGGGGGTGGGAGTTGAACCCCAGTCCTCTGGAAGAGCAGCCAATGCTCTTAACCACTGCACCATCTCTCCAGCCCAGTTAAGCCTATCTTTAAACTCAGCTTCTCACAGGATCTCAGGATATGGACAAAATATAGACACATTCTTTGACTCTAGCATGAAATGGCCTTGAGCCCACTCTCTGGAAGTGGGCTCAAGGCCCACTTGACACACCAGACACACCAGAACATCTTGACACACCAGAACAGTTCAGTATCTTACCATCTTGACACACCAGAACAGTTCACCGTCCACATTTTTGTTGGTGGTGTGGGTTCCTCAGCTCCCCCAAGAATCACCCTTTAATTGAGCTTGTTGCTCTCTGGGATTTCTCTAGCTCAGAAGTCCAAATGTTTCCAAATTCCTCCCACAAACTAGTTTCAGAATCCCATGCTCAGGTTTAGTCACAGCAAGGAGCTCATATCTCTGGCACCAGTCACTATGTCAACCAGTTTCTGATCCCTGTGACAAAATGCCTGAGCCAAACAACTGAAGAGAGCAAAGAGGCATTTTGACCCATGGTTCCAGAGGTTTCAGTCCAAGGGTGTGGGAAGAGAGGAGCTCACATCATGGTAGCCAGGAAACACGGAAGGTGCCACCCCCATCCAGGGTAGACTCCCACCCTACCCCCACACCCGTCCACACCACCCCTCCACCCTGACACACACTTAGTTGATATCTCTGGAAACTGCCTCCCAGACTACCCAGGCGCCTACTTACTAATCTTCTAGACCTCAGTTCAATCAATGTGACAGTCAAGAACAACACCTACCACACTAGGTCAGAGTTCTACACCGAACCACACCCACAACCTGCTGTGTGTACCAATCTCCCAGGAGCTAAGGATAACTCCAGATGATGCTTCCCGGGAACTCGCCCATTGAATCAGTCCTCCTAGGAAGCAGTTGAGACCTCTGTCCCCTGCTCACTGCTGGAGCACAGACTGAAGCAGAGTGTGCAAAACCACACAGCTGCAAAGGTAAAGAGCTCAGCCAGGGGAGCTCAGTCTTTTGACTTTACAACAGGTGGACACTGCACTGAAAGAGGCGGGAGAGTGAAAACAGCCTCCACCGACCTGAGGCAGCTGAGGACACCTCACGCCTTCCCATGAGGATGAGTCTGCCATGTGCCTGAAAATGTCAAAAATAACTAGAAAATGAAAAGGAACTGTGGAAAAGGACACCAAAAAAAAAAAATCTGACTCAGGAAAATAAGAAAGCTCATGTAATTTTTTCTTAAAGAAAAACACAAATAGAAAACACAAAGAAAGCACAGATCGACCCAAATACATCAGCAACAGAAATAAAAACTGACTTCAATCACTGGTTACAGAGAACAGATTGTCAGAGTAAATAATTTCCAGACCTATATTACTTAAACATTAAAAAAAGACATAAGGAGAGGATAAATATGAAGGCTAGAAAAATATACATCAGCCAAGTGTTAGCTGAGCGCAAGCTGCCCCAGCTACACTCATATCAGACTAAACAGCCTGTTAGTCAACAGCGGTAGGATAAGTAAAGATAATGGGGATTAGCACTATAGCTCAGCAGGTAAAGGTGCTTTCCGCCAAGTCCATGACCTGAGTTCAGTCCCTGGGACTCATGTGGTGAAAGCAGAGATCAGACTCTTGCAAATTGTCCTCTAACCTGAACAGATATGCCATAATATGTGTGTGTGTGCTTCCCACCCCTTCATATTCACATTTAAAAGCTCTTTAAATAAATTGGATATATATATATAAATATATATATATTTATATATATATATTTTCCAATCCTTTGAGCTAGCACCATGCTTCTAAGGTTGCCTCATTGCAGGCATCTGAAGAGATATAGCAAGATCTAAAGAGAAATTGATGAGCCTGCTACCATCAGGAAGGATTTAGAGGTTTGTCTTTCACTAATTAATAGATCAAGCAAAGAGTATTAATAACAAATGACAGGATTTGTGCAGAAGCCATTAACAGGCCTCTCCTATTAGGTAAACACAAAGCCTCTAGCCAAAAGATGATCCAAAAGCTCATGAGATCTGCAAAAGCAGCCGTGGGCTGGTCTGTGACAGGTCCCAGCAACATCCAACATCCCAGCAACATCCAGAGGCCGCATTCTCTGAGGAGGATGCCACCAAGCTAGGAGTCACTGTGAAAAGCAAATGTTCAAGTCTGGTGTTTACAGCTGTAGGTTTATGTCACAGAGTGAGTTAGAGGCTTGGTTGAAGCTCTCAGTCCTGATCAAGGCAATCGGGGATCAAAGCTACAACGCGGGATTCTCCGGATAGAGCTTGAAAGCAGACCCTAGATGAGGCCATAAAATGGTAGGATTTGAGGGGTACAGTGGCTAGCATTGTTTAAAAGGATTGATTTGGCGTTTAGATTCCCCAAGGCAGAGATGAAGCTGGCTTCTCACCTCCCAGAATAAATCTAATTAAATGGGATTAGGGCTTGCTTCAGGAGCTTGTGCATTGCCTCAGAGTCTGGAGGATGCCAAGACAAAACAAAAGGCTTTGGCCTGAGCTGATGGGTCAGAGCACATGTGGGCCAGCTGTGACTCCAGTGCAAGAAACCCCCATGCTTCCATGAACCAGTAGCAGGCAGTTGAGAGGGATGCAGCCCCAAGACCCTGATGAGTCTTACCCCCAAGCTTTCAGAGGGTGGGTGTGCAGGCACCAACAGGAGAAGCACCAAGAACACCCCCAAATATCAGACAGCATGGGTTGGGGTGTGAGGTGGCAGCAGGACATGCCACTGTTGGTTTCAAAGTCCTACCACACTTCAGCCTGACACGGCAAATCAGTGATTTCACTACTTTCAGGGACTACCCTCCTCCTCCTCAGGAATCCTGGCCCTGAGGGCTGAAGCAATGGCTAGTCCAAGCCAAAGTCAGACCCAGATTCAGGTGCTTTCCCTTGCTTTGGAGCCTCCATCTGTGATAGCTACACAATTCCAGTTCACCCTGGAGTGTGTGTGTGTGTGTGTGTGTGTGTGTGTGTGTTTTTTTTTGTGTGTGTGTGTGTTTGCACGCACATGCGCATCTAAGCGTATGTACTTGTATGTCTTTGTGTGTATTCATGTCTGTGTATGTATGCATGGAGGGGTTGCACATGTGTTAGTGTATACTTGGAAGCCAGTATTACCCCCCAAACCAACGTTCTCCCAACACCATCCACCTTGTTATTTTGAGACAGTCTCTCTCACTGGCCAGGAGCTTGCAAATAAACAAGCCTAGTTTAATTTGAGAGAAACCAGTTCGTGTGATTTACTACATCTATGAATGAATGAGAAAAGAACCCAGGCTCATCTAAAAGTCAGTACCACAGGTAGTTAACCAACTCAACATCTACTCAGAATTTAAATGAAGAAAAAGCAAAGTAGGAATAAAAGGGCCTCCTAAACCCAATAAAAAGCATTTTCAAAATTCCCTTACAAATATGCTAGGCCCAGATTGGTAATCCCAGCTACCCAGGAAACTGGAGTATAAGGATCATAAATTTAAGGCCCACCTGGACTATAATGGACTCAAGGCCAGGTTGAGTAATTTACCAGGGCCTTGTATCCAAGGAAAAAGAAGGCTCGGATTGAGTAGTTACCTAGTATTCATGATGCCACTACACAACCTCCTGTAACAAAATTTTATATAACACAAATAACAAATAGAAAGATGCAAATATATTGATATATTTATGAATATGTGTGGCCATCTGACTATAATTATTCAAAACGATCCCAAATAATCTATAATTATTGGAACTAATACACAAGTTTCTAGGTATGTTTAATATACAGAGAAAAAAAATGATTGGGCCAGCAATATAGTTCAGTGGGACAGTATTTACCTAGCTGGGTTTAAACTGCAGCACTGCAAATAGATAAATAGGCAAATGTATAAAACAGCTGTTGCATAGACCAGTAGCAAAAGTAATTCTGGAGACTGAACCCAGGGCCTCAAACACGCTGAGCAAATGCTTGGCCAATGGCTACATCTCCAGCCCCAGGAAACACTATTTTTAAAAGATAGCTTCTACAATAGGGATGGTGGTTTATGCCCCAAGCACTTGTGAAGCTGAGGCAGGAGGGTCACCCTGAGTTCCAGGCCAGCCTAGGCTGTGTCACTTTGCCTGTCTAAAACACCTGATTGGTCTAATGAAGAGTTGAACAGCCAGTAACCAGGAAGGAGAAAGAGGCCAGGCTGCCAGGCAGAGAGAATAAATAAATAGAAGAGGGAGGAGCAAGAAAAGGAGGGGAGGAGGAGAGGAGGAGGCCAGGATCCAGCCACTGAGCACACAGCCAGCCAGAGTAAGAAGGAAAGGAAGGTGTATAGAATAGAAAAAGGTAAAAGCCCAGAGGCAAAAGGTAGATGGGATAATTAAAACACACACACACACACACACACACACACACACACACACACACACACACAGGCTAGAAACAAGGCAAGCTAAGGCCAGGCATTCATGAGTAAGAATAAGTCTCCATGTATTTATTTGAAGCTGGGTGGCAGTCCCCCAAAGAGTAAAGAAAATTCAACACCAGAGCCTCCTGCATGTAGGAACCTGAGGGCAGATACCTGCCAGCCCTGGGGTAAGATGGGACTCTTGGAAAGATAAATAATCTGTGCAAAGGAATTTGAAAGGAATCCTTGTAATTGCAGACAGACGTGCACTTGAAGTGGATTAAGGGTTTAAAACAAGACTGAGAAAGCGGAAAGGATCACGCCCATGACTCAGCATAGACAGTGCTCTGCTTCTCTCCTCCCCCATTCTCCTTCTCCCCTCTTCCCCCCAGGGCTCCATTTCCACAACCAGGTAGCTATTCCTTCAGGCAGCTTGGGTAACTGCTTTGAAATCTGCCTTAATCCTGCTCTCACAACTAAAGTCGATTCCTGAGCCCATTCCTCTGTCTCCCATACTAGCTTAGTCTCCTACTCTACCTGGAAAAGACTTTCTAAGATCCATGACCCAGACTGCTTCCTGTCTGGCGTCTCTCTCCTGCCCCATTGCAGCCACAGCTCACCACAAGTGCCACGGTGAACCCCCATAGTTGGGCCTTAACATAGACATTGACCGTCACATGCTTAGAGTGCTGCAAGTCAAAGCCCTCATTCTGGTGCCAATCTCCCAGTACAGGCTACTCCCACCTAGTTTTAAGATACCATTTATATGCCAGTCACTTCAGAAAATCCAACAATGGCCCCTTGTGAACCTGGCTTTGAAAGCCAGCAGAATCGGGTTCCTCCTCGCCCTTGGCACATTTCCTCAGCCTAGGCTAGGCAAGGAGTACATGGATTCTTAAGAGCACTATTCTTTTATGCTCATCCACACATTTTATAGCGTTGTACATAAGAAGTCTATGGTGACCAATGTCAAAGAGAAAAGGCAGAAAGAAAGGGCAATGTGACCTGATCTAGCCCTCCGCCCCCACCCGAGCTACCCCTTCTTCCTCAAGCTCAAAGAAAAACCCAGAGAGGCTTCCAATGTGAGTCTGGTTCCTTGGGTGACAGGGACCCAAGCCAAAGAAAAGAGGTCTGCCAGACCCTGGGAGCACTACAGACAACTGGAGGGAGTAAGACCCATTAAATTGTGCCCTTGACAGTGAAGCTGAGCTGAAAGAGTGTAGAGAGGACCTCCCCATCTCAGCAACCGAGAAAAGCCTTGGGAATCCTGTTACCCCTCGGGGCTGTCATTGTGAGAGTCCCATTTCTTTTCACATGACAGGTCTCGAGCACTTGGCTGCAAGCCCAGCTGTGACATGAAGCTCATGGCACCCTAGAGCCAAACAGGATTAGACAGGCCAAATTATCCTTCTAGAAATGGTACTCCTCCAACCCACCTGTCCTTTTCTCCAGGTGATGTCACCACCAGGTTCCAGGGAAAGTAAATAAATGGCATGTCACCCCCCAACACATACTCCTGTCCTGGAATCCTGCCCATGGTTGCACAAGGAGGGGGCTGAGGCCAGAGACATGAGGCTCCTTACTCATAGTCATCCCCAGCTAGGAAGTGGCCACGCTGACCTTTGAACCCAAGAAAGCTGATATTATCACTGTCAGCAAAGGTGTCAGATCAGGGGTAAGTTAGGGAACCAGAGGTGTCCAGTGTGGGGGCTTCACTACCAAGTGGGCTGTACCACCTGCTCAGTGAAGACACACCTTCCAGGGATTAGATAGATGGTCCTGGCATTCCCATAGGACATGCCAGCATGAAGGATGCCTTGGGTGTTTGTAAAGTGTCTGTGGGGCTATGCATTTGAACCTTAAGGTCCAGGTAGGGTGGACACCCCAAAGGCCTTCTGTGCCCAATGTTCTCTGGACCACGCATGCTCACAGCCCCACCCTTGTCTTTTAACCTGACCTTGAAACAAGTTGGACCGCATGTGGTAGCCCAGGTCATAGTAGTCTGCGAAGATGGAGGAGATTTGTGCAGGGCTCTGGGTCCTGCTTGGCCATGAGCTTGATCTCTTCTGGCCCTCAAAGATTTCACCAATGGCCTTTCGAGCCTGATGGAGGAGGCAAGAACAAGAGACAAGTGATGGGAAGATAAGGGTATGTATGCTGCCACTACCCGGCTTTCCCCACTGTAGGCTGAATCCCCCAGGGCAAGCTCTGCATATCCCCATTCATTTCCTCCTCCCAGAGAGCCAAATCTTAAGTGATGGCAATGATTCTACACACATTGAGCTCTTCCTGTGTACACCATCATGGCAAAATGATTCTACACACATTGAGCTCTTACTGTATACAGTATCAGAGCAATGATTCTACACACATTGAGCTCTGAAGACGGTCTTCACAGGGTGATCCTGTTCCCATCATTTTAGAAATGAGGAAACAGGACTTTGACAGGCCAGGCTCCCCTCAGTTAACACAGCTGGGGAACCCCAGAGTAACTTGCTGCTTACTACCAAGGCATCCCACAAGCCTAACTTAGTTTACACCGAGACCAACTTCTTCCTCATATCAAGAAGGAAACTGAGGCCCAAAGGGACAAGTCTGGGCCTATGAGTCAGGAAACCTGACTATGAGCACCAGTTCTGACATAGAGCAACTGCTGAATTTGGCAGGCCTTGGGACCTCTCTGGGCCTCAGTTTCTCTGGAAAGCAAACCTGAGAGCCTGCAAGTAGCTTTCAGCTCAGACACTTGCTCCTTCAGTGGCACCAGGGACCTGTACCCCAGAAACTGTGCTGCAGAGGCCAACGGTATCTTCCCAAGGCCAAGAGCTGCATGAGTGACCACACCCATCTCCAAAGGAACAAGTCGTTCAAAGCAGGGAGGACATTTAAGACTGTGACCCACCCCCATGAGTGTGTCTGATGGGTGGGGTTGTTTACCTTGAAATGACAAATGAAGGTGAGCCTGGGAGGGCCCTGACACTCAAGTTTTTTATTGCATGGATCTACTGGCCTTGTGGCTCTGAGCAGATCACACACAACACCTGTCCTGGTCCTAGTTATCCTGTCTAAAAGGAAACCATAACCTCTGCTCTACTGACCACACATTGCAGTCACTACAAGGGTTGAAATTGCAGCCTTAAAATATGTCTCAGAATATGAGAGTTTATCCTTTGACTAAAAATGGCGGGTGATTCTAGTCTCGATTTCCAATTGATAAGTAATGGCTGTCTAGAAGAATACAGCAGGTAGGAAAGACTGCCAGGATTGATTTGTCATGTCTGCCATGAATAAGGCTAGACTTATGGTATATATGCCATGGATTTATCAGCCTGAATGGTTTGGGTGTTTCATTTTGCAGATTTAGAGACTGAAGGCCAGAAACAGAAAGCAATTTAAAGAGAGTTACCTGGCCTTTGGGGAAAAAAGCCACTGCTGAAATAGAGCCACATCCCAAACCATGTCTCTGATACCCAGAAAATGATCCTTTAGGAGTTGTGTTCAGGTTGAAATGACTAATGCAAACAGACTTATAACTGCAGTCAGTATCAGCCAGGGCTCTAGAACCCACTTTAGATCCTCATTCCACATGGCTAGGTAGATGTGGTTAACCTGCTTAGCCCCTCTTGCCCTGGACTTCATTCATGTGAAATGGAGGTAATACCTCTTTCCTCATAGTGGTCTCGCACAAAGGCTTGAGACAGCACACAGTGCCTCATGCATAGCACGTCTTAGTAACCGTCACTTTCTGACAGTATAGGTATGGTTTCCAGGAATGGGTTTTGTACCCTCATTAAGTCTCCAAGACAACCCTCTTCCACTCAGTCTCCCACATCTCTGCTTTGTCACCTGTTCCTCGGAGATCAGATGGTCCACCACCTTGCTCCCAAACTTGTGGCGGATGTTATCAGGAATAACACTGTCCTGGTTCAGAGACACTGTGTGCTCTGGGGTCTCCCTGGCTTCTCTCAAGCTGGATCTAGATGACCCCTTCTTCAGGTCCTCAGAGTGTGAGCCCGTGCCCAGAGAAGTCCTGCTGGCAGGAGTCGGTGGCGGAGGTGGCATCTCCAAGTGGCTCTGGCCCAGGGGGCTGCATTGAGGACTCTGAGAGAGCCCTGAATGGTGACTGGATTTGGAGCTGTCCAAGTTGCTACGGGAAGCTCTCCAGGAGTCCATGTCCTGCTGGCCCTCCTTGTTGTTGGGTTGGGTCCTTGTCAAAGTGGTTGTACCTGAGCAGGGAGGAAGAGGGCAGCACAGAGACAGGAAGCCACCAGACCAGTGTGAGAAGCAAAAGTGGGAAAGGTGACAGAGGGGCCAGTGGGAGAGAAAGTGACAAAAACCAGAAAGCCAGAGACAGACAAGGGTAGAGACAAGAGTAGAGAAATCGCAGGATCCCAAGGCAAGGTGAGAAAAGAGAGATGAGGGAGACAGAGGGAAGTCAGTGAGCAGACCTACACAGGACAGGGTTGTCTCCATAAGGCCCTTTCTTGCTTTGAATTCTAACAAAACACTGTATGAATCCAATAGGCATCGGGGTGGCAGAGATGACTCTTGGCTTGGCCAAATTTCAGGTCTGCAAAGTGCTAGAAATGGGGTATGAGCCTTGCTCTTTGTTCCCCGTCCCCCACCTCTTCTCCCTTCCATCCCGGCCACCTCCCATGATCTCAGGGCCACTAACAGCTCCCTCTCTCATTCCCACTTGTATCACTCCAAAACTCCTGCTGCCAGCAGGACTGCTAACCTCATCCTGTAGACTACCCTCCTATCATTCCTGGCTCCAACAAGGGACTGCTGACTCCTTTCCTGCACACCCTGAAACATCCCATCTCTCTGCCTCCCCCAGGCTGCTCCACTACCTATTGAGGCCGTCCCTTTTAAATATTTTTAATCTTTATTTTTATGCACGTGGGTGTTCTGTCTACATGTACATATGTGTAAAACATCACATGCATACAGTGACCACAGAGGCCAGAAGAGACTGCTTTTGGATTCCCAGGTACTGGAGTCACAGACAATTGTGAGCCGCCATATGAATGCTGGAAATCAAACTTGGATCTTCTGGATGAGCAGCTCTTAACTGCTGAGTCATCTTTCTACCACCCATCACCCCCCTTTTTTGAAAGTCAAATCAGATCCTTCCTTCAACCTTTAAGTACACACACACACACACACACACACACACACACACACACACACACACCTCTCCGCCACCGGCCCCAGGCTGTTGGGTCAGTTCTCTGCTCAACACCTGACACTGTCCACTGTCCACATCCTCACAGCTCCGAGATTTTCCTTTCTATCTCACTGTGAGTTCCACGATGCCCCCTTTCTCCTCCTAGATAAGGGGAGAGGGTCTCACAGGTGAAGTCCCTGTAGGGGGCCAGTCTCAGACCTTCCACAGTACCCCAAGGTACCCAGAACATTTGAGTCCTTTAGTAAAGGAGAAGACAAGTAGCTGGCTGTAACATCAGACCCACGAGACCTTGGCCTCATCCCAGCCAAGACACCCATCTCCTCTCATTCTGACTGCAGGCTGTGTAACATTTGATGGCCCTGTGTAGGGCTAACCAGGAGTGTTTTCTCTTAGTGATACGGAGGTATATCTTCCAGTTAGACCCACTGTGCCTGAATCCTCACGCCCCTCACAGCCTGCCCCCACCCCCACAGCCTGCCACCATCTTCAGCCCTAGGAGCCAGCTGGAAACGTTTGGTTAGCTTTCCCCTAAGTATTCCAGAAGAGTCTTCCAGCCTACAACAGACAGTTTGTTTTGCTTTTGTGTATAAATGAAATCTGACTCCATGCTGCATTCTAACTCGCTGTTTAAAAAACATCCCTGCACCCCAAGGATGCAGTCCACACCACAGAGAGGGAGGGCAGAGTCCTTCCTACTTCCTACCCTGCTGTTGGGTGGTCACCAGTCACGTATTTAGGACAGACTGGTGCAAACATCAGCCTTCACTGCTGTGACTTTCTTTCCTTGTTGAGAACCAATCCCTCCTCTTCCCCAGGGAGAAGGTGCAGAAAAACCTGGGCTTTCTCCCCCTTCCTTCCCATTTCCTCCTGCCTATCCTACTCCACTTCTTGTCCCCACTCCTTTATCACCCACAAAAGGCAAAGGGAAAAACTGTCTCCTGGAGCCAGATGGCCCTCCCTCCGGCTCTGCCCTCTGCCCAAAGCAGCAGGCAGCCAGGCAGTGGGGCCTCCCAAGACAACAAAGGAGCTGAGGCCAAATTCACAGCATTCTACACAGAGTACACAGCACCTGCCTGGTCAGCTGAAGCTTCATCTGCCCCTAGGGAGACAAAGCCAGTGCAGGGGTGAACTCCGCCCACACCCCTCCCTGAGCCTCGATGCAGGGATACCATGTCCTCAGTCTGCCCTCCTGGCTGCTTCATCTGCTGAGTCATTATGAAGTAACAATGACGCCTAGTCTTCTGCTCTAGGGCTAGTAGCACTTCAGGCCTGGTATGTCTTGTGTTCTTGGACTCAGCAGAGGTCCATTTGTCCACTGTGTGCCTTCCTACTATGTGTCTGGCAGTCGACCATGCTCTGAAGTGACAAGAGGAAAGGAAAAGAGCCAGCCAGATCCTGAGCTCTAAAAGAAGAGTTTTGGGATGGATGGGATGGAAGGATGGATGGGATGGGATAGTGTGGTAGTTGAAATGTAATTGGCCCCCATAAACTCATAGGGAATGGCACTATTAGGAGGAGAGGTTTTGTTGAAGTCAGTATGGCCTTGTTGGAGGAAGTGTGTTGCTGTGGGGTGTGAGCTTTGAAGTCTCCCACGCTCAAGCTATGCCCACTGACATAGTTCACTTCCTATTGCCTAAGGATCAAGATGTAGAACTCTCAGCTCCTTCTCTGGCCCCACATCTGCCAGCATGCTGCTATTTCTCACCATGATGATAATTGACTAAACCTCTGATACTGTAAATTACACCAATTAAATATTTTCCCTTAAAGAGTCATCATGGGGGGGGGCTGGAGAGATGGCTCAGAGGTTAAGAGCACCGACTGCTCTTCCAGAGGTCCTGAGTTCAATTCCCAGCAACCACATGGTGGCTCACAAGTATTTATAAAGGAATCTGACGCCATCTTCTGGCATAAAGGTGTACAGATAAAGCACTCAATCATAAAATGAAATAAATCTTTAGGAGCTGGAGAAATGGCACAGCAGTTCATTCAGAGCACTGGCTGTTCTTCCAAGGACCTAGGTTCAATTCCCAGAACCCAAATGTAGCTCACAATTGTCTATAACTCCAGTTCCAGGGGGATCTGATATCCTCATACCAAAGCACATTAAAAAAAAAATTTTTTTTTAAAGTTGCTGTGGTTATGGTGTCTCTTCAGAGCAATAAGAAACCCTAAGATAGATGAAATGGATGGATGGATGGATGGATGGATGGATGGATGGATGGATGGATGTCTGCATCTGGCCTTCCTAAAATCTGGACAAAGTAAGTAAGCAAGCCCTGTTTTGTTTAGTACCATGAGCATGGAAGAACCGTGAACAGAATTTTCTAACACTGGTCTCTTTGTCAAAATACCCTTCACACTCACTAAAAATACAGATTCCCAAGTCAGAATGCCCCCAGGAAAGGTACAGAACCTAAGGATGTAAAAGAGTTACTGGTGTGACTTGGGAAGCTTGAGGCAGCTGGTGCTCCTGATGCTCTCTCCCCAGTACTTGCCATGTCCACCTGCCCTGGGGGCCTTCCCAGAGCTGACCTGGCTCTGCAACACCTGCCTAAGATTCCTTTCCCCTTCCAGGCTGGCATCTCTGTCCCCAGTACTCAGCCCACACAGCATCCTGGGCTGGGCTCAGTCAGGCCTGATGTACCCGCAACGCTGGCCCATATTCTCACATCTCTGTACTTTGGGTGCAAGGGAATGGCTGCCACGATATCCAACAACCCCATCTTAACCCAGAGAAGCTGGAGACCCAGACCACACGAAGTCAGAACTTCCAGGCCTGGCACCTGGAGGGCTCAGAAGTTCTTTCCTCCAGTTTTCTTCTGCATTTAAAGTACACTGGGTCAGTTAGGCCATTCCATCTGGAGGCCTCAGCAAGACTGAGGAGATAAGGGAGTCCTCCACCCCACCTCAAGAAGCCTGTCTCTACAGGTAGTCTTCCTATCTTACCTGGTCGGTGGCCCAGCTCCATGGACTCTGGCTCTGGGACCCGAAATTTCTGAGCTTGACCCTGTAGACAAAGCAGCACACACTGAGTGGTTTCAGGTGACAGTTTCCATAAAGGATGACAGCTGAAAACTGATCGGGGAGGCCCCAGAGACTCAGCCGAGCCATGTTTAGGCTTTCTGCGCTGCAACCACCACGGCTCTTTCAGCATCCAGTGCAATCCAGGCCCCAGAACCACCTGTCACTCACCAGATGCTTCTGGTTAGCCGGGGCCACCACTGGGCTTACGTGGCCTTTCTCACATAGTCACGTTACGGGAATTCTCTTACTCTTTCCTAATCTCTTATCTCTTCCTTCTCTCTTCCAGAAGCCTCCAGGAGGCCCTGGCTGTGTGACTACCGCCTCAGCCCCCCATTCTACATTAACACTGCCACAAAGTTCTTTATGGATGCCTGGATGAAAGGTCTGTGCTCCTGAGCTGCCTCTGCTCCTTCCACGTGGCCTCTGCATTAGACAGATTAAAACAGGGCACCTTAGGGTGAGGGGAGCATGAAACTCAGGCACTCATGAGTGCTTGGTCGAGCTTCACCCCAAGCCCATTTTATGCATGGATTGTTCACTGCAAGAGAAGGAGGTTCACTAGGAGGTCATGTAAAGGGGCCCAGGACCCAAGAGCATCAGCTCTGTTTTTTGTTTGTTTGTTTGTTTGTTGTTGTTTTTGTACCTGTGTCCTTTTCTCCTAAGGGATCTTTTCCTTATTTATATTCCCTTATTTTGAGCACATATGAAGTTGTCCCCCAAGTTTCTACAAATGTAGTAATGTCAGGACAGTGAAACCTGGACTGACAACATTTTCAAAATAAGGGAGGGACAGAATACAAGCAGCAAGGGTGAGCTGGAAGAGTGCCCTGGTTTCATTTTCACTGCTGTGACAAGACACCCTGTCAAACGCAATAAGGAGAAAGGTTTCTTTCAACCCACAATTCCATGTTACAGTCCATCCTAGCAGGAAAAAAACAGCTACTCACACCCCATGCACAGTTAAGAGCAGAGAGAAATGGATGCATCTGTGCTTACTACTCGGCCGGCTCACTTTCTCTACTGTTACACAGTCCAGGACTCAAGCCCAGGGAATGATGCTGCCCACAGTGGGCTGGGTCCTTCCACATCAGTTAACATAAGACCAGCTCCCCATACATGCCCAAAGGCCAGAACCTCTTCCCAGGTTACTCTAGACTGTGTCAAGTTGACAACACTAACGATCAAAGGGGTCTCTGA